TCATCTCTAAAGAGATGCTGCTCTTTAATATTGTTTATTTACGGTCTCAGTTGTGTGTGGTGTTTAATTTACATTTTGTTGTTCTTTGTTTTTTATTCAAGTGCATTTTTTTGTTAGAGACTGAGAGTCCACTTTGTTAAACATTCTTTAAAAATTAAAGTTTATTGAGTTATTACACTTACATATTACACTTTTATAATTATTAGTTGTAAAATGGTCACCAGGCAATATTATCGCTTATCGCAATGATTTTTGAGACAATTAATCGCCCAGCAAAATTTGTTATCAAGACAGGCCTAGTCAAGAGGCTAATTTTTAGTACCAGTATTTCTTTTTAATGTTTCTGGATGAATTGAGATGAAACATTCAGAAGTCAGGAGCATGTGTGTATCTCCCCCCACACGTTCATTTCTAAAGATCTTTAATTCATTACTGATCCTGCCAACTGGCAGAAATGTTAGAATTATTAAATCCATATTTTTTTGGCTCGTCCTCTATTCTAGTAGATCAAATCTGACACCGTGAACCGGCAAATCAATCACATGAGACAAGTGGAAGGGCTGAGTTGCTTAAAATTGATGGTGTTTTGAGCTGTAAATGTTCCCCCTGTTCATTCTCAGGTGAAAAACAAAATCATCCAGGTGTATCCCAATTTGTGTTTGTTTACCTGTTTTGTCTGAGCCAAATTATTCTGTCATCCATTTATTGCTGTGCTAAAAGAGAGTAGATTGGATTTGGAGGTGAAGGGTTGACTCTTGTGGGATAGTATKAAATTACATTACTGTCGCTGCTGAAGTATGCAATGTAGAAAACAAAATCCCCCCGCGTTAACACTTGATGAATGACAAACTGAATACACACTTTAGGCATGTAAAAGGCATTTTATGCTCCTATCAAAACGTTTAAAATCAGTTCTAATTAAAAAAAAAAGCAAAATAACAAACATAAAAATTACCAAATATTTTGAGACTCATTCGGTTCTTCTTCCAAACTGAAAGCTCATGCAGTTCACACGGGTATAGAACAAGACGTTCCTCCTAAAGATGGGTGTGAAACTTTCACTGACACATCTGACCGGATGCATACTCGTTCCCTGACCTTGGACCTCACTTCTCCCGAGTGAACAGCTGCCGCCCACCTTTTAATGTTTGTTCAGTTGAACCTGGAAAACTAAGCAAATTCCGTTCTGAGCTTTGCTGCTAGCTTTCCCAACAGCTTCCCTGTCAGCTTAATGGAGACCTTGTGCTCTTTATCAGTTGTATCTTTCTAGTTTAGGCTGCTTCACTCATGTTGTTTTACTTACAGACTATGACTGATGTGGTGGGAAACCTAGAAGAGGAGCGAAGAGCAGAGTTTTACTACCAACCCTGGGCTCAGGAGGCCGTCTGTCGCTACTTCTACTCCAAAGTAAATTTCTCTTTATTTATACATATACTATATAATATACTGTGTATATATATACTCAGATTTTTTGTTGTTTATTTTTAAGAACCTTGAACCAAAACATAATGTATGGACATCATTTTTGCATATAATTATTTTTACATGCTGCATTTTTTATAACTTTTGCAGTCAATTGTATTTTATTTTGTGCAGATAGTAATATTTTTTCATTGATCTCTTGGTTATTTCTTGCAGTCAAAATGTTTTTATATTACATTTGCAAAGATAGTCATTAGCCTTTGTGTATGAAGTCCCTCAGTTGGTTTTATAGCTTGCATTTTACGAGTCTTAACAAATATATCATTGACAGCCAAACAAACAAGCATTTGTTTACTTTATGCTAGGAGCCCGAATATGATTTTTTTTTTTTTTTTTTTTTGTCTCTTATTGACCTGTTTTTTTAAATCACAAAATGTCCTGGTAATTACTTTGTCTGGCTAAAAACATCTTTCAGGTCCAGCAGAGGCGACAGGAACTGGAGCAGGCGCTCGGCATCAGGAACACTTGAAGAAGTTTGTCCACAAAACGTCCTCCAGAGACGGAGCTGAAGAGTTTTGTTGGATGAAGAGTGTGTGGGATGTTCCAACTGAGATCCTCACAGTTTTCAGACAGACACGTTGATGCTAGATGACTTTACTGTTAAATTAGGATGTCAGGTTTTTCTTCTTTTTCTTTTTTTTTTTTTTTCCACCATTCAGTTCAAGAGTAGTTTCATTTAGGTTCCTACGAAATTTATTGTTTTTCCTTTTTTATTTATTTTATTGCAGTTCTTTTGAGCACAGCTTTTTTATTTTTTGTTGCACGTCTTAACCTTCAGGCATTCCTTTCATTTRGATACAGTCAACTCAAATGTACAGATTGTATCTGGAGTCTTTAAATGTAATGTTTCTCTTGAACAAATAACATCAAACTCTCGGTGAGTTTTTTTGTTTCTGACTGATTGAGAGAAAGGTTACGTTCCTAACTATTGTTCAAATACTTTCCCTTTGAGGTAAATATTGATAGTGACTGTGTTTGTGATCAGCTGGAGTTTTTGCTGCATATTGGTTGTTTATTTCTCACTTTTTTTGTTGTTGTTTTGACAGTGCCAGAGTCTGTATAAGCAGCATTTTAAAGCTCAGTAAATCACAGCATTGTTGCAGCAAAGCRGTTATCCTTTTTGTTCTCATGACCATTTGATATGAAGTTTTCTTCTTTTACTCTTGGTGATCTTTGTTTTATAAAATGTATTACATCCATCTTTGTCTTGGTAGCTAGTACAAATAATCATAAAAGTAGCTAGTATGGGTATCTCTATATAGTTTTGTAAATATTAAGCAAAAACACTTCGGATGGATGTGAAATTATTCAATATCTCTAAAGTTGAGCAATCTTTTTCTTAGGTTTTTGTCTACGATCTGATAGTTACAGCAGTATTTATATTTATCAGCCCATTTCTCTCAGTGCAGTGATTTGGCTCCTCTTTACATAAATTTAACTATCATGTTTAAGGAACCACATATGCGCAGCGATAAGCTGTCAGATCTGTGTCGCCTTTTAAGTTGAAGAATTCAGACATTTGCGTTGTTTTTTTTTTTTTTTCTATTATTATTATTAAATTTTTTTTCATGTTTTTTGTAATGTGCAGAAGAAGCCCTGTGGCAGAGCAGGTTTGAGGAGCTGCAGTTCCTTTATATACTGACTATAGTCCCGGCATGTCCGGGTTTAATCCTGTTTGAGGTTTTGATGAGTGTCATTTGGAGCTTTGCGGTGTGATTTTTATTAATGAATTCCAAGAATACACTAATGTGGGTTTGGGCAGGGACGGGAGTGGAGGTGATCGTTGGGGAACCTCTGGGATGTGAAACAACACTGAGTGGATTGTAGGATTATGTGAATCTGCAGACTTTTTTCATGGACCAAACCTATTTTTCTGTATGTTCATATGTTATAATAAAGGATATGTAAAAGTTCTTCCTCCCATTTCATTTAATTTATTTATTTTTTCTTGTTTCACACATAAAATATTTAAATATTGAGTTATTTGGTAGATATGCAYTATTAATTTTGGCTTCCAAATCCTTTTTTTTTTTTTGTCTAGAAGCTCCCTTTTAGAGCTATACATTAATCACTATCATGTTTAAAACTATATATATATATTGTGTGTGTGTATATGTATATGATGTGTATATATG